GTTTAATGTAGAACACAAAGCCTCAGCTGGCTAGAAGAGAGGGCTGCAGTTAAGAAATCCTGTAACATGTAGAAGAAAAACTGATTTTTTTAATTTTTTTTTTTTTTTTTTCACCCAGCAATATGCACGCTCGATTATTTTGAGCTTGCTCTGGATGAGTTTGTTCCTGTTCCAAGCTCATGTCTCCGTTTGATGAACTAGTATTAATTTGTTCATTTTAGTGTGGCTTTTTAAAGGCATACTGGCCATATTCAGCTTGGAGACATGGAAGGAAAACAAAAATTGCCTGTAATTAAATGAGTGTTCATGTACACTCTTTTTCCCCCCAAGGGTAGTGGCTTATTGGGAAACAGTAATGTTTTTTGATTAGCAGGAGAATTCCCTTGTGCCTCGCTACCCTGCTGAGACGCGGCTTTCAGATGAGGTGTGAAGTCGCCTGCGATGGCTGGAGCCTCCCTGATGTTTTCTGTGGAGCTGCTGCCAAAACTACGGCACTGCTTTTGGCCACAGTTGAGATGGGATGTGAGGAAGAATTTCTTTGCTGAAAGGGTTCTGAGGCATTGGAAGGGGTTGCCCAGGGCAGTGGTGGAGTCCCCATCCCTGGAGGGATTGAAGAGTCGTGTAGACACAGTGCTGAGGGACATGGGTTAGTCATAGGGGACTGGTCAGTGTTGGGTTCATGGTTGGACTTGATGAGCTTAAAGGGCTTTTCCAGTCGAGGTGATCCTATGGGACCCCGCACAGGAGGGGCCACCGTGGTCCCTGCTGGGGTGCCCAGCTCCTGGCAAGGCAGAGGGAGGGAGAAGGTGCCTGTCCCTGCTGGCACCGCTGGCCCCAGCTGTTGCGCCTGGGACAGCTTCCACCTTCAGTCCCTGTGCTGGGGGAACTGGAATTGCTCCTCTGGGTTTGGGTGGAGAAACTTGCCTCTGTTTCTCTTACAGGGGAGGGGAAGGGGAACACATCTGTGCCAGGAAAAAGGAGGAATTACCTGGAAAGTGTCAACGTTTTACAGCATGGCGTGTGACTGCCTTTGGATTATTTTTCATTCCCAGTGGTTTCAGCACAGCTGAAGTAGCGAGCACATGCGTGTCATGGGAGGGTCTCTGCTGAGGAAAAAATGAAAAGTGACTTTTCTGGGGCTTTGAATCCTGTCTTCCCAAAGCCAGGGCATTTGAAAACTTACCGAAAGGCTTTCTCTTAGCTGCACTTCTTGGTGGTATATGTGAAACAGCTGTTGTGCTTTTCTGCACTGAGAAAAGTAGGGAGGTTTCAACCTGCAGGATTCCACAAGCTCACTTCTACCTGCTGCAAAACATCTCGCTCCAGGTTTCTCACCTGCATGTACGTGGGGGCAGGAACTCCGGGCTTTGCTTCTCTGCAGTGTGTGCTTCACCGTAGCGAGAGTGAGAGCAGGTTTGCAGCGCCCACAGTGAGCCTGGTCTCACAGAATCACAGATGTTTTGGGTTGGAAGGGACCTTTCCAGGCCATCTAGTCCAACCCTTACAGTGACAGGGACATCTTCAACCAGAGCAGATTGCTCAGACCCCCGTCCAACCTGACCTTGAGTGTTTCCAGGGATGGGGCTTCTACCACCTCTCTGGGCAACCTGGGCCAGTGTCTCACCACCCTCAGTGTAAAACATTTCTTCCTTCTCTCTAGTCTGGATCTCCTCTCTTTTAGTTTAAAACCATCTCCCCTTGTCCTTTTGCTACAGACCCTGATAAATAGTCTGTCCCCATCTTTCCTGTAGGGGCCCTTTGGGTACTGGAAGGCATCAATCCAACAGCGGGGTGGGGACGTCACCCTGGGGTCCAGGAGAGCTGATGTGGGGAGGAGAGGGAGTAGCTGCCCCCCCACATGCCCAGGTCAGCTCTGATCGCAGAGGTGGAAGGCGGCAGCTAAACTTTCCCAGATAAATGCACCCTCCAAGCTCACTGGGTGTGAGGCTTTATCTGCTCTCGCTTGCAAATAGAAGCTTTATTTTTTCCTCTTAGCTCCGCGCTGCCTCCGGCAATCGGGGATAAAACAGTAAAATGAGACTTGTAATCTGGGCAAGATTCGCTGCAGACCTCTGCTGCGGCTGCATTTATTAGATTGTATGATTTGTCAGCAAACCCTCTAGGGTTTTCTAATGAAAATCTACCTGTCTGGCTGGTCTGAGGGGGTAACAGTCGAATTGAATCCATTTCTAAGCCTGTGACTTTAGCAGAAAAGACAGATAAGTAAAATTTCCAGATATTTTTAAAATGGAGAGAAGGGAAATGAGGTGTAGTTGGTTTCTTGGTTGTTTTGGGGTTTTTTGTTTTTTGTTGGGGTTTTTTTTAAGTTTCTCTTCCACAGGAAAAGGGAAAATTTGAGGGAGTAATTGAAACATGTGCAGTAACTATATGGAGCTTAGCTTCCTTTTTTTTAGAAACCTTAAGAATGAGATGATGCAATCTATTTGGCACATTGAGTTGCTGATAATACATTCATAAAAGCATTATGAATTCCTTACTACAGGGTAATGATTAATGTATCTCTTTAACAGACAGAGCTGTGCTGCCCATGAAGACGGACAGATGCGTGTTCTGGTTGCTGACAGAGCTCTAAAATAAAAAAAAATAAATAAATCTCTGAAAGTAGGAGGCATCAATAATAGTAACTTATAAGCAAAGTAGCTGGAAAATTGTATCCACAGTACTCAGGAAGTATATGGAAATGGAAACCTAATGTTCTAGTGCAGATGGAGAAGGAATTCCTATTTCTTGAGAAGCACAAGAAAATAAGTGTGACACCCTCATATGCTTTTTATTATATAGTAGTTTAAAATGACACAGTATGAAAGACCAGCTGTAAATTTTCCCTGCGATATATGAGAGGTGACTACTTCGAGCTATAGGTTGAAAAATAAATAATTGGAGTACTTTATTAATGAGCTGAAAGCATTTGGAAGGATTAAAGTGCAATATCACTACAAACATTATCTTATTGTTAAGGCACAAAAATATTTACAGTGTAAGTGGGTTTCACTTTTTTCTCCCCTCATATTTTTTTTCCATTCCAGATTTCTTCCTCCCTCCCTCCTTTTTCATATTGTTTGTTTTTTTTTCCTGGAAAGTCTTTTTATTGTTGTTGTTGTTGTTGCCCAGAGCCTGACATGTGGAGTCATGTATTTCTGCTGAAGAAATCTAAAATTTGAATGGAGATCCCAAGAACTTAATATTTAATATATTTTATGTGTGTGTGTGTGTATATATACACATATGTGTGTGTATATATATATATAGGCTTTGGAAATACTATGATATTATATTTCTGCTAGAGTATCTTTGCAAAATTGTCACCTTCCATTAGCTGGTAACAATGCTTGGCAAGGTTGCAATTTTTTTTCATCCACCTAATTGCTGTTGTCACTGCCCAGGTGACAAGTGTCTCCCAGACAGTTCTTGCAGCTTGCCCCTCCTGTGGCAGCCCTGCTGGAGCACTGGCTTTCTTGTGCTCTCACCCCTTAGCTCAGTTAAGGTGTTAAGCTCCCACACCAGATGTATGGTGGTCTCTTCAGTCCCTCAGCCTCAACCTACTTGCAAAAAGACTTCTGGAGTCTGTTTGGTTAGAGACTATTTAAGGAAGAGCCCTTCCTTTTCCATGCGTTTCGGTGATGTCTGCTGCTAACAAGCAGGACTCTGGAGTGGCAAGTTTCTCTTTTGTTCTGGGAAGTGAAGTACAAGCAGAGAATGTCACAGAACAACATTTCCCTTTTTAAATTCTATTTGACAGTGCTCCAGATGAGTACTGCTTCTTGTAGGGAGGGTGCAGAGGCGTGCTGCTCTCTGCTTGGGGTGGCTTCCAGTTACCTGCCCGTGTGTCATGAAGGAGCCAGGCTGGGCTGTGGTTACGGGAGGTGGGTCTGTCATCCAGAGCAGCAGTGTGAGGACAGGCGTGTGGTACAGCAGCTCCTCGGGAGGCCATGGTGGTGTCTGTTTTGGGTGAAAAAAGATGTGCCTTGCTTCTCAGCTGAGGGAAGGTTGAAAGGTGCAACTTTGACCTGGTTACCCATGAAAAACAAAAGCTGGAGGATGAACATTGTGCTCTACCCTGGTATTAAATCCTTTCAGAGGGACAGAAGGCTTTGTTCTCTGCCAGCATGATCTCTGTGGTGGGACTGAACCTTTTAGGGTGCAGTAATAGCATGTTATGTGGTGGTAGCATCTCCTTTCTCTGGGCTTCTCAAAGCTTTTCCAGTAACTGATTCTCCTAGTGTGGTTTGGAGAAGAAAAAGGTAGATAATGTTTTTGCACCGTTCTTATGTTTGGGGAAGTGGGAACAGAAAGCTTACCAGGTATTTAGGTGTCCTGAAATGCGAACAGGCACACTGATATCTTGATCTGTATGGTCCATGATAGTTGTTTATCTAGAAAGAATAGCTCCTACCACTTCTTCTGCAGCTTGAGACTCCGTATGGAGGTGATCCAACTGCTCAATATAGAGAAAAGAGGAAAAAAAAAAAAAAGAAAAAGGAAGAAAATAGCCTCAAAGAAAGAGAATGGGTAGGAGTAGAGGAGTAAGGGTCAGGGAGCTGAGCTGGCTTACCCTGCAGTCAGGCAAGCACTGGGCTCGTGCAAAGGTAGAAGAGATCGGGACGCCCTGGTAGCATTTGGCCCTTTGATCACCTCCATCATACGGCTGAGGCAGGGCTTATGTGGCTGCACTCTTATGTTACAAACCATTTGATTTTCTTTACTCCCTCCCCGTGACCCAGGACAGATCCTTCCTTCCCGCTTCTGGCAAGTGTTTCAGCTGTCTGCTGTGTCCACTGTGGTCTCCTGTCTGGCTGAACAAGACGGGGTTAATGAATGTACAGCACTCCCAGTGAGACTGGGAGAAAACACTACAGCATGACTAATCTTTGGATAACTGCATGCAAAGAGGATAACATCTCAAAAACATGTATTCTTCCATGTTTGTTTTAAATCTCAGAAAAGGCAAATGCATGTCTCTCTCTCTTCTCTCTTGGCAGAACCAGCTCCTTGCGAAAGGCTTGCTGTTTATAGAGGAGAAGGTTAAGCTGTGTGAAGGCAAGTATAGTAAGAAACCTGTTTTGGAAGGGAGTTGTGCTTTGATGTTTGGTCAGACAAGATGATTTGCATGTCTGGAGAGCATACAGCCCTTTCTGGGACTGTGCTGTCTTCGAGTGTCACACAGTGTCCCAGGAGCCAGGTTGCACTGCAGCCCCAAGGGATGGCAAGCTGTTTGAACAGCCACATAGCTGCCACACTCCCACCAGCCGTGCCTTCATGGAGAGAGCAGGAACCTGGCTCTTGTGTGGCAGTTGAATCTGGGCTGAGAGCATTTCTGGGCGGGACATGGACCCTCTTGCAAAAGTACCCAGAACTGCCTTTTATTTCTCAACGTGATCTGCAGCTCAGTGTAAGCATGATTTTGATTCCTGTGTCATGCTTTGGAGAGCTGAAATAACAGGCTTTGTGTAAATCTAAAGAAAAACCAGTCGCTTAGGCGGGAATGAGATCCTTCAGGAAAGAACTGGATCACACACGAAGTTCTGTTCAAACCATGGGGGTTTGCTGCCGCAGAGCCCGTGGCCGCAGGCCAGCGTGGTGCAGCGACTCTTGGTGTTGGGTGTGTGGGGAGTTTATTCAGTTTGCTCAGGCAGAGCGAGCTGTCTAGAGCACATTCTTTATTCCAAGCTGGGCTGCCGTTTGACTGACCCAGTTTTGTAGGCTGTAGGGAAGAGCCCTTGCTAATCACCGCCCCGCTGTATCTGGGTCATTAAATGCCAATAGACACTGAGAATCTTGTGTCATTGTTGGTGCTGGGTTCCTCCACACCATTCTTCACCAAGTGCCTTCTCCACCTGGCCAGCAGGCTCTGGGACTGGGACCCTGAAGGAGCTGTGCTGTCACCAGCCTCCTGCTTGGTGTGTTCTTCAGCACCAGCCCTACAAGGGGTGGAAAAAGGCAAACTTGTGCATTTTTCCCAAATGTGGGTGCCTGCCCGGCCCCTGCGGCTCTTCAGGGTGAACACTGAGCAGCTTGTCATAGGTTTTGTTTTCTGTATTCATATAAAACAATTCCAGTATCTGCTTTAGCATGATGAAAATTGAGTTCCAGGCTGTAATAAGCTGAGAGCTGCCCGGGAGCGGTTTGCAGCTGCTCGAGTAGTTTGGGTAAGTTGAAGTTTCCTGGGCAGACAGCAAAACCCTCTTCCTATGCCTCATTTTTTTTAATTTATTTTAATTTTTTTTTGGTCCCTGGTTTGAGGTGGCACTGGAGGCACTTTGCCTGAGCAGGCTGGCATCTCTGCAGGAGATGACTCACGGGCACCTTTCTTTCATAACGGGTAGGCTTGTTGCAGGTCTTGTGGTCACAGCAACAAGAACTTCTTGTGCACGCTTCTCGGTTAGCTCTGTCTCCCTGGAAAAGTTCTACTGTCCCAGTACTCAGAGATGGAATAATACTCCTGCTGCAGGGCATGGCTATGTTTTGCTGTGGCTGTTTTTCAAATCACAGCCTCTTATTTTAACATTGATTTTTCTTTATACAGTCTGTCAGAATCTCATTCAATGCTTGTAGAATTTATGTTTTCTTGAAGAAACAAACCCTTCTCCCTTCCCCTTCAGAAGAAGTGATCTGTGACATTTCATTCTGGCTCGCCAAAGCATTGCAGTCCTGAGGAGGAGGCAGAGGAGGAAAAACACTTAAACATTCAATTAGTCTGTTTCCTGTTGTCTCTTTCACTGACAGTTGGCAGTTTCTGGTAACGGGTAGCTGTTATGGGGGTGTCAGGTGGGTGCTCATCTACCTGCAGTTCCAGTTTTGAAGCCAGCACGGTGCCTGACACAGCACAGCCTCCCTCTGAGCCCTCCTGCCCTCGTTGGTGGGCTCTCTGCTCAAAAGGAAATGTCTGCAGGATCTGGTCCTGCTGGCTCTCTGCTCTCTGGCCATGTCCTAAGCAGGAAAACCCATGGGCCAGCACAGTGAAAGCCCATGTGGAAGCCTCCAGATGGAGAAGGCACTTCGGTACACAACGAGAAGGCTCCTTTAAGTTCAATTTTACATGTGTTCCAGTTCCTTTAGTCACCCTGAGGCTGTCTGCAAAGCTGTCTGGAGCAGTCACCTTCCATTACTGCTCCTTGAGTCTTGACTGCTTGTGAGCTCCAGCTGAGGCTCTGTGGAAGGGATCCCAGAAAATCCTTTTGTCAGAAACTTGTGTTATTAACCCTGGGCCTGTATTTGCACCTGAAGTGTCTGGGGAACGTACCTAGAACTTGAAAAAAAACATTGCAAACTTTTGGCCTTTGGGATGGGAAAAGTCTCCTGAAAAGCTGAGAGGCTTTGGGCCCAAAGGCTGGGGAACGCACAGCTCTCTAAGTCAAGCCTATGGGCATAATTTAAAATGGCTAGTCAGATGATTACGTTCAGTAAAGCGTTTTTTGTTGATAACAGGCTTTTGACCACAGTTGTATTCCTGTTATGGGAACTGTGAGTTGCATAACTTAGTCTGCCTTCATTTTGGGAACCCACTTACACTTGAGGATGTTTGCTCAAGTCAGAGTCACATAAGGGGTGGCCACAAGTGGATTTCCTTCAGGAACCTTCCCAAGTGCCACGTTTGAGAGGAGCATGGTGGCTTTGGGGATTGTCAGGGTCCTGATTGCTGTGTCTGCTTTGGATTGCAGGGGATGCCAGAGGGGGCTCAGCTCTCAGAAACGGTCCTTCTGACCCAGTTGCTGCAGAACAGTTGATGTTGGCTGTGACCTGCTGGTTTTCAGATCCAGCTGCTCATGTGTGGCTGTCCTCACACGCTAGTTGAGCTAACTGTGGGCTGTGAGGTTACACAGCCCTTTGCTGTGGAGTTAAAGCTTCCAGTTGAAGAGGGGCTTCACTCCTCTGTTGGGATTGGTCTCAGGCACAGAGCTGTTGTCTTGGCAGTAAGTGCCAGAGCAATTTATGGTCACAGCCTTGTGTCTCTGTCAGTTCAGGTGAAGCTTAGCGGAGTGATGGCCAGTTTTGGATGGAAACTGTGAAGGTGAAGGGTGGGTTTGTATCTCTTATTTGGGGAATTAGAGAGTAGTGGGGAAATTCAACTTGATTTTAATGTTCCTGTCACTAAAGCTCTTGCTCCCGATCTCTGTTTTCATAGGGGAGGATCGCATTGATGTCCTGTCTGAAATCTGGGATCACTATTTTACAGAGACTCTTCCTACACTCCAGGCAATATTCTACCCAGTCCAGGTAATCTTAATTATAATTCAGTCTTCAGTCAGGTGAGGCAATACAATGTCTGAAATGTCTCTTCTGTTCTGGCAGCACTGTTTGTCCAGTGGCTCAACGGGTCTCAAATGCTTTAAACTAAATCTGGGAGGGAGCAGAGTTTGCCCAAGTCAGCATTAACGGTGTAAGAAGGACTGCTAAAATCTACTGGGCAAGCACAGTGTTCTGGGCTGAATTTATTCCTGTTTGTCTGCCCTCTGTCTGTGCTTAGCTAAGCTTGAACACTGAAACCTTGTCTAGACTGAAGCTCTAGGCCATTTGTATTTATAGTTCTTCCAGTTTTAAATAGCTGGGACCCTGTTGGTGCAGATGACAACACTGACAACTTGTCTTCAGACTGAAGACTAGATCAGGAGCAAGTGTGTTTAACTTGCCCCAACTACTTCTGGAGGGCTTATGTCCCACTTGTGCCTTTGGAAAATCCTCTGTTGGGTTTTTTTGAAGCCTTATTAAGGGGACAAGTAACTCTGTGCCTAGAAGATGAATGAACAACTTCATGTAAGACCTGTTTACACTGGGTATTTTGAAAGCTGAGTATCCCATCAGAAAAGTTGAGCTGTATAATTTTTTCATGTAGTTTTAGTCAGGGTTTCCACTCGAGCAGTCTAATTATCTCTCCAGCCTATTTTGATCTTCTCTTCCATCAGAGGAATAGAAAAATGTGCCTCATGAGGAGCCTGACGTTCTTGGAAATGCTAGCCTCCTCCTCTTGACTTTTGCCTTTTCCACAAGACATGATTTCCAGAGCCTTTTAGAATTATTTTTCCCTTGTATTGTTTGAAAGGCAGCAGGTAAAGCTCAAAGATTGCCCTTTCCCTCTAATCCTACTAAAGAGAAAGGACTCCTGTAAAGACAGACACTAACCTTTCTGCTGTGTTTATTTTTATTCTCTCCTAGCTGCAGATGCTTAAAGGTAGGTGTGAAACCACCACACTGCCAAACACTCCTCCTTTTCTCTCCTTCTGCAACTAATTTGCAGTCAGGGAGTGACCTAATCTATTTCAGCAGGGGTTTATCTGTGCTGCACTGTGGAAACAGCTGAGAACTGTGTGTCATACACGTTGATACTAATAATTCTGCCACTTATCAGAAAAATCTACTCCCTTGCCATTAAAAGTCTCTAATGAGAAACTGAACAAAAGTTACTGCACAGCGGGTGCAGCTTTTGGAAGTCACTTGGTGATAGTGGTGAAAGCGTGACTATGGGATGTTGAAGTTCTTTGCAAGTATAACTTTCTTACTGTATTTGTCTTGTCACAATATCTGAGTCAGCCAAAAATATTTCATAGCAGCTGTGAAGTTCGGGAAGTGTTGCCATGTTGTGGATGAGGAACCGAAAGGTAACGGGCAGCATATTTAGAGCTTTGTAGGCACCTAAGTGCTACACAAATGTATAGATTTAAACTGCTTAAATACACCCAAGAATTTGACTGTGGGTAAGCTGCCCGAGGCTACAACAGAGAGAGCTGCTGGTGCAGCAAGAAATAAGGAATTGCTTTTATCCCAGGCCAGTGCCCTAACAACCAGATGGGGCTCTTCCTACAAATGGGGAACAGCGTGCACCTCTTTATACGGTGTGGCACCAGCTGGGAAGAGAGTTCAGCTAGCAAGTGTGTTTCACCGAGCCACAGCTCTGCATGTGCTGCTCTGGTCCATGGGAAAGTCAGTTTGTTGTTGGTTCCCCATCCTTTGCTGCAAATGTCAACACCATCAGTTACTTTGTGCTCTTCTGTGATCCCAGCAGCTGCCCATTCAGAATGAAAGTAAGTAAGTCAGCCACACGTGTGAGCCTATGTTACCGAAGGCAGCCAGGAGAAGTAACTTCCTATCCCAGCTCAGTTTAAACCCCAGGCTCATAGCTGCTGCAGAAATATGACCTTTAAGCAGCCAAGTTGGTTAAATTGCTGTACAGAGGGAAACTGTGTAAACAGGTCACTGGCTTTTGTATAGTTGCAGCTGTTGATGTAACTGCTTGGTGTGGAAAAAGAATAGCAAATCTTGTTTTGTTTGGCACAGCGAGATGTTTGCATGCTGAAATGGGGTATGAAGGTAATGGGACTAAGCTGCATGACGTCAATAAAAAGCCTGCAGCTGCTGAACTGTGGTTCAGAGATAGGCACTGGGCTTTTCTGCACCTCCGTGTCTCTAAACACGCAGCGATGGTTTTAAATTGCAAAGTGCTTTCATTATGGCCAAGCTTCCCTCCAGACTATTGGCTTTAATTCATATTTACATATTGATGATGATGTTAATTATGACAATAAACCCATTATGAATTAATGATTAACTGCTGTTAATTCCTTCCAGCTAAATATTTGCCATGTTGAGTGTGTTATGGAGACCATAAAATGGTTCCCAAACAGAGTGTGGAGCAGCGATTAATGTGCTGGGAAGAACAAGGGAAACTCTTTCAGACTGGAAAGTGCCAGGCAGGGCTGGGAGGAAAATTTCTGCTGTTAAACTGCAGTGGGTCAAGAGAAAGTTTTGTGGACATTAAGTGTAGCAGAGAGGGAGACAGTAACACCAGAATGCCAAACGTGTTTAAATGTGCTGAGAAATATTACATCTTCGTCTGTTAAACCTGCTCGCTTGTGTTGTTGGTGTTAAAATGTTACTGGGAAGACACAGAGTGCCTTGCAGGGGAAATCAAAGCTGTTGCTTTTTTAAGTGATGTTTAGTATAAGCAGTCTTGTCGTGCTAGCTTTGCTCTAGCTTACATCTTAAAATCTGTAACGGACTGAATTGTGAATTTTTGTCATATCAGCAAGGCCTAAAGTGCAGACGTTCAGCAAAAAGAGGATCCAACACAGACCAGAGGTAGGCTTAGTTAAGGAATACTCTGTACCAACCTCTTTCCC